ATCTAATATCTAATTATAATTATAATATTATATATTTAAAATAATAAAATCTTAATTTTTATTATAACTATCATATTATTAATGAAAACATCACATCTATATCATATAATATAAGATAATGTACCTATCTAATGCACTATAGATTGGTCAAAGTCAAGTATACTAAAAATTTGTTCTTTTTGTTTCGGCTCCTTATTCAGATTGTCATTTGGTTGTTTTGGACCATAGCACAACCTTATCAACCTTATACAGCATTTGGTCTCTACGAAAATTTATAAGTAGTACTAGTCTCTGAATTCGGTAAAATATATATATATATGAATTATTCTTTTGATAATTATGTAACATATGCATTTTATATTAAGGATTATTATTAGTATTATTATAGGGTAATAAAATAAGGGTGAAAATTAGTTGACGCCCGCCAAAAGCCAAACCAAATGTCCTCCTACACTCACCCACTCTATCCACTGGCTGCCCTCCCTGTTTCTCCACAAAAACAAGTTGTAGAAAGGCAAACTGAATCACGAACACAATCACAATCACAAACCAACAATCCCCAATCCTCATGGATCGAATCCCTTCGTTCCCAAGTCCGCAACAACCTCTTCCGCGACGCCGTTTCCACGTACACCTCCATGACAATGGCAATCCCACCCGACAACTTTGCCTTCCCCCCCATTCTCAAGGCCGCCACTTCCCTCCGCGACCTCAGCCTCGGCAGACAGATTCATGCCCACGTCTTCAAGTTCGGCTACGCTTCTTCCTCCGTCACCGTCGCCAATACCCTCGTCAACATGTATGGCAAATGCGGTGATATTGGAGATGCCCACAAGGTGTTCGACAGAATTCCCCAAAGAGACCAAGTTTCTTGGAACTCAATGATTGCGGCTTTGTGTCACTTCGGGGAGTGGGCGCTTGCATTAGAGGCGTTTCGGGCCATGCTGGCCGAGGAGAACGTTGACCCTAGCTCGTTTACGCTAGTGAGTGTGTCTCTTGCTTGTTCGAATTTGGAAAGGTTTTATGGTTTGTGGCTTGGGAAGCAAGTTCATGGATATAGCTTGAGGAAGGATGATAGGAAAACGTTCACTATTAATGCTTTGATGGCTATGTATGCCAAGCTTGGAAGAGTTGATGATTCCGTAGCTTTGTTTGAGCTCTTCGAGAATCGTGATTTGGTGTCGTGGAATACGGTGATAAGCTCGTTGTCGCAGAACGACATGTTCGTGGAAGCGTTGGCGTTATTGCGCCGGATGGTTCGTGAGGGGGTTGGGCTTGATGGAGTCACAATTGCGAGTGTTCTTCCGGCCTGCTCCCACTTGGAAATGTTGGACTTGGGGAAGGAAATTCACGCCTACGCTGTGAGAAATGACGATTTGATTGAGAATTCTTTCGTGGGAAGTGCTTTAGTTGACATGTATTGCAATTGTAGACGAGTAAAGACTGGTCGCCGAGTTTTCGATTCAATCTTGGAGAGGAAAACCGCGCTTTGGAATGCTATGATTGCCGGTTATGCGCAAAACGAGTTTGATGAGGAGGCCTTGAACCTCTTCCTTGAGATGCTTGCAGTTTTGGGGCTCTCTCCCAACGCCACCACTATGGCAAGCATTGTGCCTGCTTGCGCTCGCTGCAAGGCGCTCTGCGATAAAGAAAGCATCCATGGTTATGTGGTGAAGATGGGTTTGGAAGGGGATAGGTATGTGCAAAATGCACTTATGGATTTTTACTCCAGGATAGGAAAGATAGAGATCTCAAGATCTATTTTCAAAACTATGGAAGAAAAAGATATAGTATCTTGGAACACCATGATTACTGGCTATGTTATTTGTGGTTTCCACAATGAAGCACTTTGTATGCTACATGAGATGACCAAAGAGAAAATTAGTGATGCTGAACTCAAAAGTGAAACAGGAAGAAACATGCTTAAGCTGAATTCGGTAACCCTCATGACGATCCTTCCCGGTTGTGCTGCATTGTCGGTGCTGGCTAAGGGGAGAGAAATCCATGCTTATGCCATTAGGCATTTGTTGGCATCAGATGTCGCGGTGGGAAGTGCACTAGTTGACATGTATGCAAAATGTGGATGCTCGGATATAGCTAGAGCTGTGTTTGAGGAAATGCCGATGAGGAACGTGATCACCTGGAATGTACTCATTATGGCTTACGGAATGCACGGGAGAGGGCGAGAGGCGTTGGAGCTATTTGAGAATATGGTGAAAGAAGGAATGAGGAATAAGGAAGCAAGGCCTACTGAAGTGACATTTATAGCAGTTTTCGCGGCATGTAGTCACTCCAAGATGGTAACTGAAGGTCTTGATTTGTTCCATAGAATGAAAAAGGATTACGGGGTTGAGCCTTTGGCGGATCATTATGCGTGTATCGTGGATTTGCTTGGTCGTGCCGGTAAAGTGGAAGAAGCGTATCAACTGATCAACACCATGCCTCTGGATTTTGACAAAACTGGTGCCTGGAGTAGCCTTCTTGGCACTTGCCGAGTTCATCACAGCGTAGAGATCGGGGAGATTGCAGCCGAGAATTTATTGCAGGTGGAGCCAAATGTGGCTAGCCACTATGTTCTACTCTCTAATATCTACTCGTCTGCTGGACTTTGGGATGAGGCAATGGATGTTCGGAGAAGGATGAAGGAAATGGGAGTGAGAAAAGAACCGGGTTGTAGTTGGATCGAATTTGGAGACGAGGTTCATAAGTTTTTGGCAGGTGATGGGTCACACCCGCAAAGTGAGAAGCTCCATGAGTTTCTCGAGAACCTTGCGATGAGGATGAAGAAGGCGGGGTATGTTCCAGATACTTCTTGTGTGCTTCACGATGTTGATGAGGAGGCAAAGGAAACTTTGCTTTGTGGGCACAGTGAGAAGCTGGCAATAGCTTTTGGAATCCTCAATACCCCTCCTGGGACTACCATTAGAGTTGCCAAGAATCTTAGGGTTTGTAATGACTGCCACGCCGCAGCGAAGGTTATCTCGAAAATAATGGACAGGGAGATCATCTTGAGAGATGTGAGGAGGTTTCATCATTTCAAGAGTGGAACTTGTTCCTGTGGGGATTATTGGTAAAGCCTCTCATTCTTGTGTTTGCTGTACAATCAGAATTACTATTATTTTGTTAATTGAAACATCAAGACAACTTGCATCTTACAGGTAGAAATTATGTAAATGTTAAATGCAAGTGAAATTTTCAAAAGTTTCCTTTGACCCCCAACCCATTTTGATCATGGACAATTTTTGTGTGTGATTATGAGATGGATACAAATACATACGAGTTAAAAGGTAGGACTTCATTATTTGCAGTTGTTTTAAGAATTCCATTTCGAGGAGCTGATGAGCTTACCTCAGAACAGGAGGACTCCCACAAATCTAGTTTGCGTTGTTTCCACTTTCTAGCAATGTATGAAGTGCAACCTCTCACGATGCAATACCAACTAGGGCGAGATTGAAACACTTTGAGCGCGTTTGGAACTCGTTCCAAAATGATTTTATTTTTTATATGAAAATGAAAATGAAAACGTTTTAAATCACAGACAGAAATCATTTTTAAAAATGTATTTGGTAATTTTATCAAGAGATTATTTTCAATATAAAAAAAACCCATTAATATCTCTCTCTGCTCGAGAGAAGAGAAAATAAAAAACCACTAAAAGTCATTTTTCATTTCTCTCTCATTTTACACTAAACCAAAAAATCGTTTTCATTTCTGTTTTTTATTTTTATTGCGCCAAACGGCATTTTAGAAACGTTTTTATTTTTTTTTCCTCAAAAAACGTAAAAAATAAAAACGGGATCAATTCCAAACATGACATTTGTGATCTCTTTTGATTTTGGCAATTGCATCATCCTCCTCGCACAGGGCATTACCATGTGAACACTCTTCTCTTTTGGTTTTGGTGTTTGAGATGATCTACTGATGGGTTCTTATTTGGTTCCAAGCTTAAGCCACTCCTATATTGGAATTTAGGTTTAATTTAAACGCATTGTTTAGATAAAAGTAAAGGTAAATGATCTTTTCATAACCTAACATCAGCCTGAATTTGCGAGGACAACATTAAAACCAAAAATTCAAATGTGAAGGCTGATAAATTCTACAAATACATGAAAAATACAAGGAGAGCTCGTCTAATTTTCCCTATGCTCTCATTGGAAAAGCAACTAAAACTTTCCTTCTGCTCTTTTTAATTTTAACCAAAAATAAAATGCTTTTGTCTTCTCCTCTACACAATCCTTGAACCCTTCACCTTGTAAAACGAGGCAACACCACCCAGAGCACAAGACAAAGGAAGGTTGTAATTGATACTTTTATATATCTTGCTACCTCAATCACTTCCATTTGCGTCAATATTTATGAGTTTACAACTTTCTTTTTCTTTTTTACCCTCGCTCCTTGGAGCTTAAGTTTAGCAACTCCAGTCCATAACCAAATATCATCATTTTTTTTTTTCCATCGGAAAACACTTCTCATTTTTTTTTTTTTTTTGGTCTACGTGAATGATAACTTATATTAGAACAATATTCTCTCTTGATAAATATCCAATGCCTGCATGACTTTCTCTATTAGCAACTTCCTATGCAATCTATACCTGCAAAAGTCACAAATCAACAAGTTTTAGAACACTTCTCAACTTCTTTCAGTATATATACTCAACCCCGAACACCATCCCCCCCACCCCGCACAAAAAAAAAAAAAAAAAAAAAAAAAAAAGAGCTCTAGAATCAATAATGTCGAGTATATATATAGTTCACGTACCTCATTGCCGCTTCGAGCGTTCTACTAGCTTCCGGACTTGAATCTGTCAGTGGTAAGAGGACAAGAAAAATGAAACCATAAGCTCCCAACATCTACAAGTTCACTGCAAATTTAGATATGCTCTAAACAATAATCTTCTTTTACCGTGATCAGCAATAACTCAATTTGTCACATTTGAAAACTTCAACTTTTTAGTTAGGACATCCAGATTTCAAGGTAAAAGTAGTAGATTATCAAGTACGGTGGACGAATAATGTAAGACAGAAATTTCAAACACAAACTTGATTGACCTTGTGCAAACGAAAGTAAAAAGACATACTATGATCAATGCAGTTGGTGCATAAAGCATGACTCAGCCATAAAAAAGAGGCTAAAAGAAGAAGACAAATTATGATCTATGCATTCGCAAGAACACTTACCTAGCGTATTCTGGTCTTGCTTAGAGGTGGTAGGGAACTCAGCAAGCATCTGTTTGCATTCTTCCTGTAACTCCTTCACGGCTCTTCTCTCAACACTCGGGATAGGAGGCACATCGCCGTCCGACCAAGTGGGCAGTCTTCTTGCTGCTGCAATAACCGCTCCATCAACAAATGTGTCCCCATCATTAGATAGTTCACCTGCTACAGATTTTATACATACTTTAAATAGTAATCAAATTTCCAGATGTTATAGTCTTAAAAAAAAGAAAATAGAAAACAAAATGGACCGTACTGTTGTGATAATACTCTTCAGGAAGACCAGATATGTTGAATACTGACAAGAACGAATCCAAATGAATACGCACATTGCCGGAGAAGTTGATCACGTCCCATGGATTCTGCAATTCTCAGAGGTTAGTTACATAGTAGTCCAACACAACATTATGCTTCTACATATTTAATTTATTTCAATAATATGCAGGCTTTGCAAGTCGAAGGACGTATTAAAACTTTAGTTACATGAAAAGAAAACCAAATAACAAGTTAACATTCGGGTATATAGAGGTGAGGGAGAGCATGTTGACACTATCAAGATTTCATCTAACCAAAAACTTTATAAAACATGAAGTCATGAGTTGAACTAGGGAAGGGACCTCTCCTCTTCATGCCTCTACTTTTAACTTTGTTGGTTTACCAAACCATCCCAAAAGCTTAAGCTATTAGGAGGTGGGCTAACAATTGTTTTGTACTTTAACACTCCCCCTCACGTGTGGGCTGGACAATGGGCAATCGTGTGGGTAAATTAATTGGAAAGCCCAACACGTGAATATTGAAGCCCGAAATATATTAAAGACCCAACACATGATGACAATTTAAGTGGGGATAAAGAGTGCAATTACGGGGGTTTGAACTCAGGACCTCCCGCTCTGATACCATGTTAGTTTACCAATCCATCCCAAAAGCTTAAGCTGTTAGGAGGTGGGCTAACAATAGTTTTGTACTTTAACAAACTTATTTAAAAAATTTTATGGTTCGCTATGGAAGAAAAAGAAAAGTGCCGAATTACTTGTTTGTTTAAGTGTGGCGTAACTTATATGAGAAGGCTTTTAGCAAACTCAAAATGAATTAAAACAACAAAGGAAATTAAGAAACCAGGATGACAACGAAAATTTACCACAGGTGAGGAGAACCCATATCTTTGCATGAGCATGTTATTCTGCAGCCCGCTCATGTAATTGACGGTCATCTGTGACCAACAACAAAATTAACATCTCATCTTCATTTTTAGCAAATTTTTTGAAATATAAACAAAGCTTCTTAGGATATTATCCAACTTCAATTCTGAATTTGAAGGCACGAATTCTACCGAGTATCTGACCACACATTCATGTCATAGAACCTGTATGTTATATATGTTATATTTCACCAGAATCTAGTAGCTGGAACTAGGCTTTTGATGCCCGAATTTAAACACAATTTTCAGGAAAACTTAGCATAGTATGATTACGGCAACTGGTAAGTGTAGGAATGGGTTTAAAGGGTGGTATCAAACGTCGGGAGAATGTAGAGTTTTACTTTAGCTTTTGAATGATGAGAAATGTTCGTGAAATATAAGTAATTCAACAAAATGAAGGAAATCGACCATTTCTTTGTATACTCATATTTGCAATACTTTGAATGTGATAGAATGGGAAGGATACCTCATCGCCTTTTTTAATCCGCTGTCCAGCATTTATCATCACCTCGAGCATGCGATCCTTAAAACGCCAATGGAAGAAACAGTTTGGCTGGAATGAATGGTTTAACATGTCTGGCAAAAATAAATTGCTATATTAAAATTTTAATCATGAAAAGAGAAGAATAAAGGAAGAG